TACCAGCATTAGCAAAGATAATGGAGAGAATAATTTTCAAACGTAATACTGTGTATCAACATGCTTACAGACCTGGCCATTCCACATGCACCGCTTTAACACAAATGACAGATGACTGGAAGGGCGAACTACACTGAACAAAAATATAAACGCAACACTTTTGTTTTTGCTCCCATTTTTCATGAGATGAACTCAAAGATCTAAAACATTTTCTATATACACAAAATAACCATTTCTCTCAAATATTGTTCACAAATCTGAAAAAATCTGTGATAGTGAGCACTTCTCCTTTGCCGAGATAATCCATCCCACCTCACAGGTGTGGCATATCAAGATGCTGATTAGACAGCATGATTATTGCACAGGTGTGCCTTAGGCTGGCCACAATAAAAGGCCACTCTGAAACGTGCATTTTTGCTTTATTGGGGGGGTCTGGGGGGGTCCGAAAACCAGTTAGTATCTGGTGTGTGGGGTATGGTTAGGGTTTAGGGCTAGGGTAATGTTGTGAATCAAATCATCAGTTAAAAGGTGAACCAAAATTGCAACTACATTTAAACCATATTGAAATTGAACAGGTCAAGGAGACAAAATTGCTAGGTATAACCCTGGATCATAAATTATCTTGGTCTGACTCTAAACACATTGATAGTGTTGTATGTAAAATGGGAAGGGGTGTGTCACTTGTAAAAATAATTGTAAAATATTTGCCTATGGATGTCAGTAGACAAGTTTTGGATGCTTTGGTTTTGTCGCAGCTTGATTATTGTTTGGTTATATGGTCTAGTGCTGCTGAAAAAGATTTAAACAAACTACAAGTAGCACAAAATAAGGCAGCACGATGTGCACTGCAGTGCTCCTACAGAACCAAAGTCACTGAAATGCTGGAGACACTGAAATGGTTAACTGTCAGACAGAGGTCAACTTATATTTTATTAAATGTTATCAGAAATATTACAGTGACTCACTCACCAGATATATTATCACAAAGGTTTATAGCGCAATATGCACAACATAACTATCAAACACGACATACAATAGAAGGAAGGTTTGTATTACCCAAATCTAAATCAAATATGGGACAGAAAACAGTACAAAGCCGTGATCAGCTGGAACTCTTTACCGGTTCACATCATTCAGGAAAATTCTCAAGTACATTTCAAAAGGTTGCTAACAAATTATTAAAGTAAATTTGAACCGTGCCTGTGGCTATGTATGCATATATTATTATGTACACTTACTTGTATTTACTTTTGTTTGGCCTTAGGAGGGCGATAATTGGATGACCATTTTAGTTTTCACTTCATTTCACTGTAAATTGCATGAAATTATGAGCTGTTTTGTTTTGTTTTAATTTTGTTGTATGTATGTTTATGTATGTTTTGAGTGTGTGAGGACCCCAGGTTTTTTAAGTAATCACACATAGGGATGGGTATCGTTAAGGTTTTAACGGTGCTACTACTTTTATCGATACCGCTTATCGGTCCGGTCTTTTAACGGTACCTTTATCGGTTCTTTTGGAGAAATAAATAAGGTAAACTAACTAAATGTTGTATGTCAGGGACTACGGACCGAAAATAACTCAAAGCTAAAATCCGGCACTTGAAGCATTATTTGTCTAAAGTGTTCATTAATGTGCATTGTCCCTATTCAAATAAACGATTAAATGAAAAATGAAAATAAACAAATTGTGAACAAAACTAACATTGCTTTTTATTTAAAGGTGAGGTAGGTGTTTGAGAAACCGGCTCGAGATACACTTTTTGTTATATTCCATGGAATGCTCTTAACATCCCGATAGCAATGAATATCTGAAGCGCTTTGACAACAAATCCATACAAAAATGTCATCTCTGGAAGCGGTGGCGCTGTAAAAAGCACGACCAATCATCTGAGCCGGCCCGGCTAAAGTAACTGGATGGCCTACCTGCCTGTCAGCCTTCCATCTGTGCACAAACTTATCTCGTGCCCTCATTGGTCATGTGCGCCTTCGTGTGTGTTGGAGGAGGGGCTCTGTAAGGAAGTGGCAGATTTTTTCCGGGTTGTGTATTTTCAAATTTGAGCCACTCGAGCTGGTTTCTCCAGAATTACCTACCCCACGTTTAAATAAAATAAATAATATTTCACATAAAAAACAACAACAGTGTTTTAACAAATCGTATTAAATAATCTGGTGACAGAACTGTAAACAGAATAGCTGAAACTTTAAACAAAATAAATAACTCAGTTACCTCTAATCATTAACCCATGTTTGTATAATGTAGTTAACTCCGTGTGTTGCTGCTAGCATACATAACACCTGACGTGGAAACGTTACTCGTGGATGGGGCTACAGAGCTACTAGAAAGACAGTCGAACCCAGTGCATTCCTCCGTCTGGATGTGGAGCACTTTTGCTAAATGTTTAGACAAATGCTCGTATTACCGCCCTTACATGCTAAACTCTTATTGTGCTTTTGGTAACGAGGATTGTCCACATCGAGACGGGTAAAGTTTAACCACACCTCGGAGCGCGTTCTCTCCGCCATATCCTCTGTGTGTGTGCGTGTGTGTGTGTGTGGCTGCATGTAGCAGCTGCGTGAGTGTAAACTGCCCCGCCCCCTCTCAAGCAGGCGGGGGAGAGAGATCGAAAATACTAAAAACGATGCATTGTGCAGTCTTTTTGCGTATTATAAACGGAGTTGGCGACACTAAAACTGCAATATAATGTTTGTGTAGCAATAATACACATGACATATTGTTTACATGTCTCCAGTAGCCTACCGATAAAAAGACCGATAACGTCGGAGCTTAACGGTACCACGGTCTTTAATAATTCAGCCCCGGGCCCCGTTTAATACCGGGGCTCGGTACCCATCCCTAAACAACTGTTTTGCGACCGCTTTCTCAATGATTTTTGAGAGGAACGGAAGATTAGAAATAGGTCTATAGTTGGCTAAAACCTCTGGATCGAGGTTGTGCTTTTTAAGAAGCGGTTTTATCAGTGCTACTTTGAATGATTGTGGAACATAGCCTGATAATAAAGACATATTCATAATATTTAATAAAGAAGTGCTAATTAATGGAAAAACTTCCTTCAACAGCTTAGTTGGAATTGGGTCTAACATACACGTTGATGGTTTAGAAGAGAGAATCATTGCATTTAATTGTTCAAGGTTTATGGCTGAAAAGCATTCTAGTTTACTATCTAGTGTAATATTAGAACTCACGCTTCCGGGAGCTGTTGATAACACTATACTGGTCAAAGGCAAGAGGTCATTAATTTTGTTTCTAAGAGTAACAATTTTATCGTTAAAAAAGCACATAAAATCATTACTACTGAGTGCTATGGGAATAGAAGGCTCAATCGAGCTATGGCTCTCTGTCAGCCTGGCTACAGTGCTGAAAAGAAATCTTGCATTATTCTTATTCTCATCTATTAATGAAGAGTAGTAGGCTGCTCTCGCTTTACGCAGTGCTTTCTTATATTCATTGAGAGTAATATGCCAAATTAAACGAGATTCTTCAAGTTTAGTGGAACGCCATATCCTTTCAAGTTGTCTCGACTTTTGCTTTATTTTGCGGGTTTCGGCATTATGCCATGGAGCTAATCTATGTTGTTTTATTTTCTTCTTTTTCAAAGGAGCAACAGAGTCTAATTTTATTTGCAGCGCATCTGTAGCACGATCAACAACATGATCAATTTGGGGTGGTGTACATTTTGTATAAGTTTCCTCCCTTACATGCAGACATGCTATCGAGTTAAGTATTGGTGGAATCTCTTCCTTAAATTTGGCTATAGCACTAACAGATAGGTTTCTGCTGCAGGAGCTTTTGACTAATGCTTTGTAGTCTCGTAACAGTACTTCAAAAGTTACTAAGAAATGGTCGGATAAAGCAGGATTATGCGGTTCGACTAATAGTTGCTCAATTTCAATACCATAAGTCAGAACAAGGTCGAGAGTGTGATTATAGCAGTGGGTTGGTTTATTTACACTCTGACAGAAACCAACAGAATCTAATGTTAAATGCAACAGTAAGGCTATTTTTATCATCGTCAACATGAATATTAAAGTCACCTACGATAATTACTTTATCTGTTTTAAGTACCAAAGTTGATAAAAACTCAGAGAATTCTGATAAGAATTCTGAATAAGGACCTGGTGCACGGTACACTGTAACAAATAAGATTGGCTGCAAAGTTTTCCAGGTCGGATGCGTAAGACTAAAAACGAGACTTTCAAAGGAGGTATCATTTAATTTTGGTTTCGTATTGATAAGTAAACTTGAGTCAAAGATGGCTGAGTCCATAGACCTGGCACGAGCATGGAATTGAACCTCTCGCACAGCCGCTCAAAATTCACCCTCTCCTTCTTGGAGCAGAGATGGACCTTGTTAAAGCCTCTGCTGTCGCACCTGTTGCACTTGAGCATCTTCGAAAGACTGTTAAAAAGGACAGCTATCCAAATGTATACAAGATGCTCCAGTTGGCACTGACTCCTATCGGATCTGCCACCTCAGAGAGAAGTTTTTCTGCAATGAGGAGAATTCGGAACTGGCTGCGGTCAACGGTTTTACAGTTATGTAATGCACTGTTGTTGGGGGGAGAGACCGCCCCTTCCGGATGAGTATGTGTGTACGGCGGGCATGAGGCGTGCATGACGGGACGAGTTGTATTCGTATGTGGAAAAGTCATACTCAGTGCGGTGAACACTGGCTTTATTGCTACTGTATCCGTAGCACCCCACGCAGTAGTTGGGACTGTGTACTGACGTCAGTAAAAAAGGTTTGCCCCCCCAAGCGCAAATGTCAAACTCCGCCTATAATTATATTTAAGTCTATGTATTTCAGAGCACTATCTCTCCATAGAGGGGTCCTCTGTTAAATCAGAGCCGAACTGATAAGAGTCAGAGTCTGATTCTTTAAAACTGAATCTAGTGAAATGTGAATGACTGAAAAAGCTGAGGACAGGAGGGACCTCGCTCTGACCGGAGGAAGACGGAGGCTCAAAGTCACACACTAACTCTTTTTTCAAGATGGATGAATTGAATGGAAGGTTTTAATATTGCACAGTTCACATCGAAGTTTGATGTTTGGGGAAAAACATTTTCAACGTTTCAAAGTGTCTTTATTTACCCTGTTCCCATAGATACCTCTACATGTTTTATTTTTGTAATCCTAGACTGTATCACAAAGTTGACAATTGGACACTCATGTCACATTAATATTGTGTCACGTGAGCTGAAAAAATGTATGGTGCCGGTAGCAGCTGAACGCCCAGCGGGGCAGCGAAAAGAAAGAAAAAGAAAGAAAAGCAAGAGAGAGTGGCGGCTGCATTACAACATTTCCCAACAATAAATTGCTTTTTCAAAAAAGCTAAAAGTGACGAATTAGGCCAGCAACCACAAAGAACAGTCACGGTCACGGAGCCTGAGGATGTTGTTGAGCTAGTGAGCAATGTTAGGATTCTGATGAATTTATCACAGACTTTGCAAAGAAGAAACACTTCTAAAATGTAAGATCCATTGATTTGAGGGATTGTCTTACAAACACATTATCTCTCTTGCTTGCATACACTCACTCACTCACTCACTCACTCACTCACTCACTCACTCACTCACTCACTCACTCACTCACTCACTCACTCACTCACTCACTCACTCACTCACTCACTCACTCACTCACTCACTCACTCACTCCTCTCTCTCTCTCTCACTCTCACCTAGGTCTTCTTGAGCCATACACTGTCTTGAGATCTTATCCATTGTATCCTTGTCTTGTGATTTTTGACTGAAAGGGCAAAAGGCTAGACCTACTTTGGTTGAACAATGTATTTGCGTCCCTGCTTTTGACAAATAGGTGTGCGATTGACATGCCAGATTGACTGAAAATGTAAAAATATTGGTCATGTTGGGCACACTCACAGAAATGAATCATGGTAGAGTTTATTTTTAAGCATTTAAATCTATTTGATTTTATTTAAATACTCATATTTTTTAAATGTATGTATTGAAATGAATTATAATCTGTATAATTCCTGTCAATTCTAAAATATATTGAATGTAATTACTTAGAGGTTAAACAATAGCAGGCGTGTTGGTACGTGGGTTGAGGGGCCCTGAGCTCTCAGTGCCCGGGGGCCCCTAAAGGTACTAATCCAGCCTTGCTCACAAGATGTTTCCTCTTCCAACAGCCTCAGTCTCAAGGGTACTCCACTGCAGGTCGGTTTATAAACTGCCAGGATTTGGCCTCCAGGTGAAGGGTTTTGCCTGAAGAGTGGAGCAGGGTGGAGGGAGGGGGGAGGACCATGTTTTATTCAATCTCAGTGAAACCGCTGGACTCCAAATCGTGAATCTCTGGTGTCCCTGATTTCAATCTGCAGGAGGAACAGAGAGAGAAGAGAGACAGTGTCAGGACGGCTGCTGCAGCACTGAGGCTGGGCAAAAGAAAGGGACGTGTTAGGGAAGAGGGGGATCAGGAGGAGAGCAGAGGGGGCCACGGGACGGAGGAGACAGGACTCATTCAACTGAGCTGTGTCGTATCAATTATGTAGTATATAAAGCTGGCTTTACCTTTAAAAACATTGGAAAAACTGCATAGAGTGTTGCAGGAATTAGTCCTGAAATGAGTCAGCACTTTACCACTTCTGGTTTCCTGGTTTTTGGAACGTGTTTCTGGTTGGAAGCCTGTGGTTAATGCTAGCAGTAGAGATTTTAGTGTTTTGTTGTACGTCTCTACGACATACATTTTGTCAGTAATACAACACTGATGTGAAGCCATTTATGTCATAAAAACAAGTGTCTAAATGAGACGACTAAACGTCATCACGCCCAACATTAGCCGCCTTTAGCTTAGCGGTGGTGACGTGCAGCCATGTCCATCTGATGTAGTTTCTTTATAGCCTTACGTTAGCTTTTAATTCAGGCGGTTGCAATTGCGCAAAATTCTTCAAAAAAACATAAAGTAGTGTGATGTGTGGATTATCCTGCCGAACAAGGCAGCATAAACATGTTTTGGACAAAATCCGATGGAAAATTCCCTTTTCCTTTGTTGAGGAAGCTCTTGCGATGCTAATATCCAGCATCACTGCACAACTCCATTAAAGAGCAACTTGCAGCCACCAAGCCATCTCTGCCCATTAGATTAATAGGACTTCCATCTGAAATAATGAAGGAGTGTTGCACATTTGACCCTTCAATTGAAACATTCGTGCTCTCTGAAATTGGCTCGGACATAGGAATGCCAGCAACTCCTATTGTTGTAACAAAATTATTAGTGGCTTCACACACTTTCTCCTTAGTACGTACTGCAGACAATGTGGCTCCGCTGTCAATCAAAATATCTACAGCCGTACCACTAAAATCAACGGGCATCATCGGATCTTCACGCAGGTTATTGGAAAGGTGAATTGTTGCTGCTTGAATGGGGAAATGCTGTGAATCTGATCCTATTTCTCCATGGCATCCCTATCTTCTATTAAATCCACTTTGCTGACCATTTTGCCCCTGTTGGGTTTGTCTGTCATAGTGTGGGGGCTGCATTAGTGCTGGATGTCTGGGCTGCTGGGGAAGGGGGGGCTGGGAAAAGGGGGGCTGGGGTTGTGTGTGCTGCTGGACCCCCCACCGCTTTTCGCACTGCCCCGCCCAGTGGTCCGTTGCTCCGCAAACATGACATGGCATCAACTTTTTGGAATTTGTATTCTGCTGCTGTTTGCTCTTGTTTTGATAATCCTGTGATCTTCCCTGATTTTGCTGTGTGCGGTTTTGTCCCTGAAACTGCTGGGAGTTATCCGCACTCTGATAAACCTGTGTATTTTGAGGCAATTGTTGCTGCAGCTGGGCAATTCTGGGAGTCAGAAATATCTGGCTCCTATGCAGGGCCCGCATTGTGGCGATCGTAAGTTTCCAGGTTTTAACTTGCCAGTCAGGAGTCGCCATCATGTAGGCTTGAGCTGTCTCTGGGATTAAATTATGCAACAAGGTCTGTATGGCAAACAAATCATTGCCCTCCCTTTTAATGCCCGCATTATTATCCCACACTGTCATGAAACGCTGGATAAATTCTGGAACATTTTCTGTTGGGTTCTGTACGCAAGCCATCACTTAGGAAAAATCTGTGTGAGTCTTAGCGCATGCTCTAATAGCCAACGCAGCGATGTTCTGAATCCACATGTCGCGTGTCTGTGTCGGAGGCCAATCACCTGCAGGCGTACACTCAGGAAATGTAAACTCGTCTCTGCACGTGGGCCAATCTGCCTTGTATGTTAAGATTATCAGCTGTTTAACATCATGAACCAAACAGTTATAAACCGAGCAGACATTAGTCAACCATGACAGATACTCATCTGGGCTTTTAGTGGGACTGGGAGCGTGATTAGTGACATCAATGACCTCAGCGGGTGTCCATGGCTTAAAAACTGGAACCTCAGTTTCAGCAGAATTATTATTCTGAGATGTTTGCATTCTCGTGATAATTGTACGCTGGACATTTTTTGGAAAACTGCTGCCGTAGGGTGATCCTGGGTAATCGTGTAAACGGAGTGGCGGAATACGAGGAGGGGGGTTTCGCAACGGGCTGTCGTCTGAAAAATCCCCTTCACCCTCCGCTGCACTCTGCTCCTCTTGTCCTGAATCTAATTCTCTATATTGTCCTGTCTGATATCTCAACCCATTTTCATTCATGATAGCTGCAGCTGTCATTAACAGATCATCATCGGAGTTTCTCACAACGGGATTTGAGAGTTCTGTCGCGGGAATTATTTTCGTACAGAGAGATACAGCCTGCTTTCCTTCCAGCAGCCCCGCGTCTGTCAAAATGCAAATGAGCTGAGACGGGCTGGGAGATTTCCCTTGTCTTTTCAACCAATCGTACATTACTGACTTAGCAACGGCTGCAACGTCTTTTCCGTGTCTTTCCTTAATTCTGGACATGTTCTCTGATTTAACATCAAAAGCAGCCTCTAGGCTAAGCAAATGACAACTAGCTGCACATTTGGAAACCTTATCAATCAAAGCTTTGAGCTCAATGGAGCCTCGCTCGGTGCCAACAGATTTTTCATTCTTCCGCTCGTCATAACCCCTTTTCTCTGCAATTGCCATCCAAGCCTTCACACATTCTGTCATGTATTTTATGTCCCATGAGCAATTAGAATTATTTTCCACCAGTTTAAATGCTTGCCACAACACAGCCATATCAAAACTACCTGTTAGAGGCCAGTCAAATTGAATCTTTCCTTTCTGATTAATCTCTTGTGAGTGTTCACAAAGCAACGATGTAAATGGCATAACTTTAGACCAATCCAAGCTTCTTCCAACAATTCCAGACGGCATGTTAGGAGAAAACATGTGCGTGTAATGGCTGTCTGTAATTGGATCTTTAGATGGTGTCTTGGTACGTGAATTAGTTTTCCTCTTACCAACTGAATCGTTTGTGGAGGCAGTATTACCCATATTTAACGGTTAGTACAATAAAACAAACACTGCAATTAGACAAACAAACATGTACTCGCAACAAAATCAGCGCCCTGGCCAAAATTCATCCAGTTTAATTTATCCGAATTACGGAGTTCTCAACGGGAGCACTGAAATATCTGTTTAATATGGGCTCTTCTCAGCCATATTTACTAGTAATCTGTTGAAGAGCAATAACTACTTTATTCTCAATCAAACCACTATGCTAATTTAGCGGTGGACTGCTCATCCCGTCCGAGAGCAGAGATTTTTTAATTAATTCAGTACTCTTTTTTTTTTTAAACAACAGCCAAATTCAACAATCCATCAGTTTATGAAACACAGTGTGATGTAATATTTGGTATCACCCTTCCCATTAATAATTGTTTTGTTTAGTTCCAAAACTTATAATGGTGTAATTAACAAAATACCACCCTGTGCTATATTTCCCTCGTGTGCCGTTCTCCACAGGGGGGAGGGGAAATTCGCCCTCCTTCGTGCAGGCTGAGCCGAAACTCGAGGTGGATTGATTTAACTAGTTAAACCGTTGAAATCTCCAGAATTCGGCTATTCGTTTCAATACAAATCCTTACATTGCTTTTGAACAGAAGTTCCACCTTACTGATGCTCTCCTTAAGGTCTCTCCGAATATTTGCCGTGTGTAATTGTCTGGTAATTTAATTCCAGGAAACACACACAGAGGAAATCGGTAAAAGTCGATATTCCGAGGTTATTTATTAGCCCCAAATATTCTTATTGTTCTTTACATGAGCTGTGCTTGCTCCTGTAGGCACTTGCCCCAGTAGCAATCACAGGGAAAATCGGCCAGGACAGAATCTCCATTCAACACCGATTCCCCTGGTTATCATAAAAAAATTCCACAGATGTAAATAGAGAGACCCAAAAAAATTGCATCTGCCAGTTTCACAGGTAATTTTATGATACCGTCAATCACAGAGTCTGGTAAGGCAATGTCCAAATATAGATTTGAAATTACACTTACCAGCTCTGAAAATCTTTTGGTATCCTGTTCGTTACGCCAATCTGTGAGGAAAACTTCTGTGTAGCAATGTTGTGGTGAAATGAGGGAGTCTGGATCGTCTTTAGCCACAGCACTGAGAGTTTATTTAAGAGTACATTTAATACAGCCGGGGAGATTACATAGTTTCACACATCCCTGTGCAGCCACCAAGCCATCTCTGCCACAAAGAAGAGACACCACGCACCAACATGAGAAGAGGCGGAACCACAGAAGCCCGCGTTTTACCTAATCAATGGCAGATGTCGGGACAATGATCTGTTTGTCTCGCAAATGCATGGAGACAGGAAACCCTCCCCCACAGGAAAGGCAGAGAAGCTTTTGACCTGTGACCTCAACTTACAGAGAGGATCTTTGACTTTAACGCAAAGCATGTTTGCAATAACACACTCTATACAATCAAGATCAGATTAAAATATTCTCTTACAACTATATTATCAATACTACTTTAGTTATAGCCTGATATATGATAGCTAACTTTACAATGTTGTGATGTGACTGACGTTAGCTAACATTAACTGTAGCTAACGCCGGTGTTCCGGATTAACTGGTTTACAGAGGTGGGGGGGCGTGGCCTTCGACTGTAATACACATTTCGATCGCTTCTTCTGTCGTTTACATACATCTTTTGCTATATTTGGCTCGGTAGGAAGACTTTGATGCACATCCAGTACCAGTGTGTGAGGTTGTGGTTACGATGGCGATATCCGGACGCGAACAGCGAGGACTACAAAAAGAAAAACAAGTTGACTGGGGACGTCTGTTCAAAACATTGCAAACTCCAATAAATCATTCAAACCAGCTATTGTTGCCAGATTAATTACTGAATATCATTCTTAATGTGATACCAACTCCATCTGAGACCTGTGTACACCTTCAGACAGCCTC